GCACTCTTTACAAAGATAACAATTCATACTGACTTCCATAGTGGTTGTATTGGTCTACACTCCCACCAAGAGTGAAGGAGGGTACGTTTCTTCCCATCTCTCACACAGGGGTTGTTAGTAGAGTTCTGAATGTAGGCCAGTCTCACCGGAGTTAGGTGAAACCTCATGAGGTTTTCATTTGTATCTCCCTGATGGTTAGAGAGCCTGAGCATTTTTTTTCATATGTCTATTAGCCATCTCCATTTGTTCTTTTGAAAAGTGTGTTCTTTTCTTTTGCCCATTTTTCACAGTTTTTTTTTTCTGGTCCCAGATTTCTGAAGCTCTTTGTAAATCCTGCATATTGTCCCCTATCGGTTGTGTAGTGTGCAAAAATTTTTGTCCATTCTGTTGGTTGCTCTTCATTTTGTTGATCATTTTCTTTGCTGTACAGAAACTTTTAGTTTGATGCAATCCCGTTTGTTTATTTTGGCTTTGACTACCTGTACTTTTGATGTCTTTTCTAAAAAATCTTTCCCAATTTCTGTATCTTGGAGAGTGCTTCCTATGTTTTCATCTAGTAGTTTGATGGTTTCTGGGTGCAGATTTAGGTCCTTGGTCCACTTAGAGCTGATTTTTTTTATATGGTGAGAGGTTGGGGTCTTGCTTCTTACCTCTGCAGGTTGCTATCCAATTGTCCCAACAGTGTTTGTTGAAGAGAACCAGGCTTTTTCCCCAGATTGTTTCAAGTTTTCTTGTCAAAGATTAGTTGGCTATACATGTGTGGGCTCCCTTCTGGGGCTTCTGTTCTGTTCCGTTTATTTTCTTCTCTGTTTCTGTACCAGTACCAGACTGTTTTGATGACCACTGCTCTGTGGTATGTCTTGAGGTCTGGAATTGTGACTCTTCCAGCTGGATTTTTTATTCTTCAGATTAGCTTTGGCTCTTAATGCACTTTTGTATTATCTTTTCTGTTTCTGAGAGGAATGTTGTTGAGATTTTGATTGGGAATGCATTCTATGGACATTTTGATGATGCCTGTCAAAAGAGAAGTGGTACATCTCTTCTGTGGAATACTAACCAGCCATTAAAAAGAATGAAATTCTACCATTTGCAACCAAATGGTCCCAACCAGAGATCATTATGCTCAGTGAAATAAATCAACCCAAAAATGACAAATATCATATGTTCTCTCTAATATAAGACAACCTTCATGCAAAATATAAGATCAATAACCATTTCAATAACTGTTTTTGTTGAATCTCATGGATTTTGATATATTTGGTTTTTTTATTTTTTCAAAATAGATTCTTTTCTCTTATTAAATTCTTCATTGACTCATAGGTCATACAGTAGCATCATTTCCTCCAAGAATGATTTTTTATTTTCTTTTTCATTTCTTCAGCAACACATTGGTTATTTAGTAGCATGTTCTTTACCTACATGGCTTTAAGGTTTTTTTAAGCTTTATTCCTGCAGTTGATTTCGTTTTATAGCTTTTCATTTAAGGAAATGTATAGTAACTGTAATAGCAACTATCCAGATGTGAAGATACAATGCAGTATACGTCTCTACTTCCAAATCAAAGATGGACTCCCAAAGAAACTGTCAAATGTATCTTGACAATAGAATGCTGGACTCTGCCAGTGTCCATACCTACAATGGCAGGGTACACTTAAATAACACCTAACTATGGGGCCCGGCACGGTGGCGCAGTGGTTAAGGTCCTCGCCTTACACGCCTGGGATCCCATATGGGCGCCGGTTCTATCCCATCGGCCGTTGCGCTCACTTGGGGAGTGAATCATCAGATGGAAGATCTTCCTCTCTGTCTCTCCTCTCTGTATACCAGCCTTTCCAATAAAAAAATAATAAAAAAAAATAGCACCTAACTATCACTGCTTATGAAGGATTACACTTTTGTAATAATAAGGGAATAATAGGGGAAATTGTGGAGAGAGGAAATTTGAGGAGGGGATAAGGGAAATCCCAGGCCTGTGGAATTGCATCATAAATTTTTTAATTTTTAAAAATGTTTTTAATTTTTAAAAATTTAAATGATAACAAATCTTCTTTCTTAAAAAAAAGTTACAATCCCAACATTACAGTTGTTCCTCAATATTTCCAAAACTCCAGCATTCAAACTTTTCCCAACCACCTTGTACTTTTTCTAGCTATACAGCTCCACATTGCACAGTGGTGAACAGTGGGAATATGGGATCAAGAAAGTCATTGGTAGTTCTTTTCTGGTTGCACTCAGCTTCTTTTCTGGATCTGAAGTTGCTAGTATCAGCAGGCAGGTAACTAAGTCCACACAATCCGAGCAAAACCCAGGAGGGAAGATGAAGGCCTTGAGCACCTAATCCTGAAGGTGCGGGAAAGACAGAGGCAAGGTCCTCGTTGTCCCCCCTTCGGGCAGGGTTACACTGCTGACCAGCTGCTCCAAGACCTCCACTTGTCCCCACACCGTTGCCTTCTCCCATGCTTAGAAAACATGGGGAACACCAAGGTGAGGAACACAGGCCGATCTGTAGAGGGTCTGAGAGTAAATATTTTATGCTTTTCTGCCTTAATGACTCAGTTGTTTTCAAAGAGCAAAAGCATCCAAAGACGATGTGTAAACAACTGGGTCTGTGATCTCATAAAACGTAAGTTACATAAACAGAGGGCAGATGGATTTGTCCCACAACCCACAGACTGCCAGTGCTCGGTCCAAACAATGTGCCCCACTTTTATTCCTGTTTACTCCTCCTACGACTTTGACTACTAAATAATTGCTATAGTTAGAAAAACGAACATATGTGGCCTAGTGAGGTAAGCCACCACCTACAGCACCGGCATCCCATATGGATGTCAGTTCCAGTCCCAAATACTTCACTTTCAAACCAGCTCCCCAGTAATGCACTTGGAAAGCGGCAGAGGATGGCCCAGATACTGGGGTCCCTGCACCCACATGGGAGATCTGGAAGAAGCAGCCTGGTTGAGCATCAGCCATTGTGGTCATTTGGGAACTAACTGAACCAGCAATGAAAAACCTTTCTCTCTCTTTCTCTCTCTCTCTCTCTCTCTCTCTCTCTCTTGCTCTCTTTTTCTTTCTCTGTGATTATGACAACTATAAAATGTAAGTAGTTAAAATAGTTGCTGACATTACTCCCATTTTCATATGAGAAAATGGAAATATTCGGAGATTAAAGGACATCCAGAACCACAGAGGCAACACATGCGAATACTTGAACTTCAACCCAATCTGTCTGCCACGTCTGTTTTTAACTTTCCTCCTTTGTCTAAATGGTTGGATATTATTGTAACCATGAAAATTATACAAAGGAATTGATGATTTTCCCTTCATATTACAAATGTTTGTCTAACAGTGTTGGCAATTATAATTGAAAAATGCTGCATAATTTTTATGAGCGGTGAATTCACCGCTCATAAATCACCAGATTTCATACATTTTTCACATACATCGTTTTCTTTCATTGAATTAGGTCCTAAGACAACTTCCGTTAAGTAGCACTGTCAGGCATCTCTGTGACGTTTGACTGATCTTACGTGCTAGGAAAAGGAGAGTTCCTCTGTGGTGTTTGCCAGTTTCTGTGATGTAAACATCCCCACAATGGCTGGTTTCCAGAGGCCAACGTGCCCTCCCAGTACTGAACTGGGAAGGCTCTTGCAGGAAGATCCAAGTTGGCCTCAGGACCCCATGGCATGTACACATTACTTCTGTATTTCTCATTACCAAATCAAAAACGGAATTGCAGTGTGTGAGTGATCATTTCTGTGTTGCACACTATCTAAAAGCAGTGATAGCTCGTTACCATCTCACTGTTTGAAAGTGCCGATATCTCAAACTACCTCTGGTTTACAGCTTTAATTCTTACTGGAAGCCATTTCCCTGTGTGTTCTTTTACATGTCTTCTCAGCAAATTCCCCACTCCTCTTCTCTCATATGTAAGGGGGATCATGCTGTTGGGAGTCTGAATGTGTCCTCAGTTGCTGACATGCGCCACCTCCATCATGAGGATGTTGGGAACTGCGAGGCTGAAAGTTCTCATCTATGATCCAGAAACCCTTGCCAGACACCAGATCTGCCAACACCTTCGCCTTGAACTTCTCCGTATCCAGAATTGTGAGCCCTAATGGGATGATATCATAACACAGGCTAAGACAGATGCCTTTCTCACAAGTTTGAATAACGCTGCATGCTATAATTATTACTGCCTTGAAGTTGACACAATTTCCTTTAAATCGCACTTTTATTATTTTGTTGTGTAAACGCTTGCAACATAATGCCATCAGAGCTTACTCTCACAATTATTTTACTGGTACTGAATGCTGGAGAGTTTGTCCTGTTTCCCTCCATTTAGAGTTATAAAGACTATTTCAAGACACTGAGATACTGCTGTGAAAACAGACAAAAAATAAGCAAGTATAGACAGTGGAAGGACCACTGGTGTTAAGAGTTAACAGAGTGCCAAGCAGATTGCGAGAAGATACGACTCTACTTTTCTTTCTTTTAATTTATTTTATTGATTTTAAAAGGCAGAGTGGCAGAAAAGAAGAAACAGATGAAACAAAAATGTCCACACGCTGTCTACTACACAGATGGTCACTTAGCCGCATTTGGGCAAGGACCATAACCCAGGAACTCCATCGAAGCCTTCAACGACCATCACCTGCTGCTTTCCCAGCCACATCAGAAGAAACCTGGGTCTGACCCTTAGTTTGGACGGGCTTCACCCGCTATGCCACCCTCAGAGGTACACGTTTATTGAGAACTCTGAGGAGATCCTATTTGAACACGCACATGAATAAATCGATCAGAGAGCCTTGTTGATTTTCCTCCCATTCATTTTTTTTTAACCAAACACGATTGCCTTATGTAGAAAACCCTCTGGTTCATGAGAACAAGTAGGACCTGATTAGGTTTTTTTCCAATTTGTACACAGTTATCTCAATGTCCTTCCTTTCTCTTTATTTTCAAAAGAATGGTTATGAAATTAGATCTATTGCTTCACACACTAATATGGTACAGTATCTATATTTTATTGACAGCTCACACTACCGTTTCTTTACTTTGTATTTATTCATTTGTTTGAAAGGCATAGAACAGAGAGCGCTCCTACCTACTCTTTCCCCAAATGCCCACAAAAGCTGGACTCCACTGAGGTAGAAGCAAGAAGCTAGGAACTCAGTCCAGGTCTCTCACATGGGGCAGGGACCCAGCCACTCGGGTCGTCACTGCTGCCTTCCAGGATCTGCCTCGGTAGACCTGGCGTCAGGGACAAGAGTCAAGATGCAAAGCCAACATTCAGATGTGGGACACGGGACTCTCTAACCAACCAGGCTACTAGTTGTCCACTCCCATCCTATACTAACTCTTTTCAGCTTTTTTAATCACCATTTCTAAAAAAAAGAAAAAAGAAAAAAAATCAGCATTCCATACAGACTCTTACACTTAGCATTTCTAAATCACAAATTCACAAATAAAATTTCCAAATTTCCAAATTCACAATAAAATTCTGCCTTCCTGAAAGGCAAACTTCATCTTATCCATCTTTGGCTCTCCAGTACCTCCTAGAACTTAGGAGATTGGAATGGACGAAGTTGAAAATTCATTTCCAATGTCCACTCACTGCTGGGCCTAAGAGCATCTCATTCTCTTCAGTACATCACAAGGAGCAGAGTGCTAGTCACACATAGACACATTTGCTTCTGTTGATTTTCAGAGGCATAAGGGAAACTAAAACTTCAGTCCCTTGCTACAAAACCACTAAAAACACAGTGACTTTGTTAAACAGTGGAGCAAAAAGCAGGAATTATCCAGAAGGCACAGCACTTCCATGAGACAGGATGTGGCTCCTGTTGGCATTACTTCACCTCCTTTATTGTGCTTGGATAGGATGGAAAGTCTTGGTGGCCAGTCCTTAGCGTAGTCAGACCATAGGTTTTGCCAGCTCTGCGTTTGCCCCGTTTGTGTAAGCATATACCTCCCAAAACCAAGAAGAACAGCGTCAGGGGGGCCAGTGCAATCCCCCAGGAGAACGAGGAGGAGGCTGTGGGGAGAAGAGAGGCAGAACAGATCAGGCCCTTGTTATAAAACAGGACAGGGCAGTGCTGGGTCACAGAGTCTGGTTGTCCCAGTAGATCTACACTAAAAAATGTTCCTGACAACAAATCACAAACATTCAAGAGTAATGTTTGTGGCATTAAACAAAACAAGCAGGGGAGGACAAAATCCAATTCCTGGGAAAAGAAGATCAGAGCATGGGGGTGGGGGACAGGACCCCATGGTCTAGCTTTCTTCCGCTAGTGGGAGGGACACTGTGCACTTAAGACGTCATCTGTTTATACCTCAGTTACTCACCTGTGATAGGCCGGGGCCAGTTGGTGCTTTCCCAGTAAGCATGGGTATGAAAAGGACGCAGAGACAAAGAAAAAGAACCAATCTGTGAACTAAGGGGCTTTAGGTGCCAAGATTATTGCTTCAGTCCAGCCATTGCATATTTTGTTGCAGTATCACAGTGTTAGAGAAATACATAGACTACAAGTCAGCTGTTAAAAAGAATGAAGTTCTACCATTCGCAACAAAATGGTCCCAACTAGAAACCACTGTGATCCATGAAATAAGCCAGTCCCAAAAACACAAATACCATATGTTCTGTCTGACAGAAGGCAACCTTGATGCAATGCAAAACAAATACATAAATATAGATTAAGAAGTATATGCAGAGGCTGGCACGATGACTCTACTGGCTAATCCTCCACCTGCAAGTGTGGCAACCCATATGGGCACCGTTCATGTCCTGACTGCTCCACTTCCTATCCAGTTCCCTGCTTGTGGCCAAGAAAAAGTGGTGGAGGACGGCCCAAAGCCTGGGGACCCTGCACCAGGTGGGAGACCAGGAAGAGTTCCTGGCACCTGGCTTCGGATCAGCTTAGCCCCAGCCGTTGCAGTCACTTGGGCAGTGAACCATCAGATGGAAGATCTTTTTTCTGTCTCTCCTTCTGTCTGTATATCTGCCTTTCCAATAAAAATAAATACCTCTTTTTCAAAAAGTATATACATATAATCTCATAGAATAACTCTATAATGGAGACTAGCATATCAGAAACTGCAGATAACTATAGAACGCGTCTCTACTTCCCAATAAAAGGAAGCGTCCCAATGAAACTGCTAAATATATGTTGACAATTTGGTACTAGATTTTCTACAATTGCATACACCTAAAATGCCAAGATACATCTAAGTGGCAGAATGTTAAACTTGTCACTGTTACTAAAATGCTATACTACTGTAATAACATGAGGGAAAATGAGGAGGGAGGGGACAAGTAGGGGAAATCCCTCTACCTGCAAAACGGTAACATGGAAAATAATAATAACAAAATTTAAAATACAGTAAAAAAGAGAAATAGGTGAAGAGGTTGTGAATGCAAGATGAGAGAACAAAGTATTAATTAGTGCCATTGTTGATGAGGTCTGAATTTTACATATTGAAGCTATTACATGCCATGGTCTGTCTGAGCATCCAAGAACCAACACACCCTCAACCTGTGCCACTGGAGAATTTGCACACATGCAAATCCTACGAGAACTGGAAATAAATCCAGCTGCATTTTCTGAACAGCTGGGGTAGTATTCAGGTGATAGAAAAGTGCTAAGGTTTCCCCACACCTGACCTAGTTCTTGGGGTTCACTGGGCTCATCTCTAGAGGGTAGAGGGTGCTTCGGAGGGATGGCCCATGCCCAAATTTGGACAGTCACCATCTCTCATTCTGTCTGTCTGCCATACATGCCCCAGTTCTCAAAGTTTAACAAGAAGGGAGAGTGTGCCATTGTGATCCCCAGCCAGCTATAAGAGAATCTGGTGTTAGACCCAGGGGTCTGTGTTTTGAATTTAAGGCACAGATGAGTGCTATGACGGTGGTTCGCAGACCACAGCTGGGGCAAAGTTATGTTAGGTTGTCATTCCCTACCCCAGCCTGGGCCAAACCATTGCCTTCTGAGTTTCAAGTTTGCCAGTAGCTGCCAAATGGGAGATGTGGAGTGATGTCTGTGTCTTTGATCACAGTGAGCCTGCCCTGAAGGCTGCGTGGTATAGCAGATTCCTGCTGGGAATCCCTTTGGCCCCTCTGTCTGATCCTCCTGGCTGCCAACAGAAATTGTGTATGGGGCACTTCCCTTTCCTGCTCAAGATGAAACATCAAGAAGAAATGAATCTGGACAAAAATAATACTGTTTTTCACTTTAATTTTTAGAAGTGTCCTTAGATGAATACTGGGTTGATCTGGTCATTATGTGGTATTTATTTTCTGTCATCTAAAGATGATGACCTTGGGTGTCTCCAGGTCCTCAACCCATGCAGATGAAGCTTTCAACTTCAAGATTAAGGGCGAGTCACCCCTGTCAGAGGTCACGGGAGGCAGGGAGAAAATCCTGGTGAGGTAAAAGAACCACAACAGGACATAGGGCAGTTAATTGCATCACTCTTTTATTTCTAAAACTCAGCTTGCTTTGAAATTTTTTGAGTATAACTTGCCAATGTCCCGTTGCACCCTCACAAAAAGAAAGAAAGAAAAAAAGAAACAATCTTAAAAAGAATTTTTAAAAATTGCTTTCAGCCTCCACTGAGCAACAAACAAGAGTTCTAGAGTTACTGTATGAAAAGCAAGAAGCTTTACTAGCATTCATAGGACATTCAACATTTTCTTTTATTGTTCTCACAGTGCATACCTTCTCTGACTGTGGCGTGTAGCGTCTGGAGACTCTGTGTATTGAGGACCATACACTTAAAATCCGTGTCCAAATCTTCTCTTGCTACGGGATTGAAAACCAATGGCATTTCAATGTAGTTCTCATTATTTTCTGAATATTCCCTGAGAGGAAAAAGCAGTGACTTAGCACAGTATAGCACCTGCAAGTGCATCTTCCACATCACAGACACCTAGACATCTTCAACTGGCAGTGCCCGCTATGCACAAAGTTTCATGAGCAGGACCTCGTGCCACTGTGTTCATCCCAAATGTGGGAGAAATATGGGTCATTGTCACATGGGAACTTAGGAGAGCCAGCATGACCTCACTGACAAATGCCCTTTCCTGAGGCCCCCTGATGCACAAAGATCTAGTCCTGGAAACAGAAACATCTAGTTTGTGGAAATCTGACTCCCTCATTGATAAATGATTTGCATACTGAAGAGTAGGGAGTTTCCACTCTCCAGCCCGCCTCCTCTCTTCTCTGTTGCTGAATCTCATTCTAGAAGCTCAAGCCCAGAGAGTTGCTGGCAGCCCAGGGGAACGGCTCGGGATGGGAGGTCAGCCATCAGTGATGCTATAGGAAGCCGAAGAAACTTCACCACTATCCACTAGCCTGAATAAAATCACTAGTGAGTGGATCCACTAAGATTTTTTTTTCTATCTATAAGGGGAAAGTATACTGCTTTAAGTAAACAGGTGGCATGAGTAAGCTAACATGAGGTATTTAGTGTGGCCAAGTCTTTCACAACAAAGACCCATAAATAGATGATGATATGCACCACACCACACAGAATTTTTATCCAGGAAATTACACCCAGAGATAATTTTTTTTTGGTAAGTCTTCCCCAAAAAGACAAATATTCATCAAGAAAAAGTTCAGGGTAATTCAAGGTATCAAAACTGTGATTTAAACAATATACTGTGAAGTGTTGAATCATCTCTCTTCTCATGTGCACATGGTTCCCATTTACCATTTCAGAATGAGATAGCATTATCTAGAGATGAATGATATAAGAATGAAATGTTTGCTTTTATTATTAATCTTCCCTAGAGACTGTGACAGCCTACAGTTGTCTGAGGAGCAAGAAGCACTACAGACAATGCAGCTACGTCACTGTCTGTGGATGAGTTCATAACAACAAGGAATAATGATGTTGCAGAGGGAAATGGAGAGGTTTTAATTCTAAAGCATTTTTGAATCTATAAAAACACAAGAAATAGTTAATTAAACAGCCATCAAACACGGCATTAACATCAACTACGGAACTACAAATACATTCTTAAATAGGTATTGGGTTGAGGGGCAAGTGTCTTGGCATAGTAAGCTAAGCTTATGTCTATGGTACCAGCATCCTATATGGGTGCCAGGTCAAGACCCAGCACCTCCATTTCCAATCCAGTTCCATGCTAATGTGCTTTGAAAAGTAGAGAAAAATGATCCAAGACCTCGGGCCCCTACATCCAAGTGGGAGACCCTAAAATTCCTGGCTCTCAGCTTCAGACTGGCCTAAGTCCCACCTGTTAGTCATTTGGGAAAGTAAGCCAGCAGGTGGAATAGTCTCTCCTCTCTCTCTCTTTTCTCTGTAAAAACCTGCCGTTCAAATAAAAAAGTAAACCTTGTAAGAAAGAGAACTACACAGAAAGTTTGACTCTTGTGACAATTTTCAGCAAAGCTTTTAAAACTTTTTAAAGATTTTGACAATTTTTAAAAGTCTAAACTTTTTTTAATATTCTGACAATTCAACATTTTGTGATCAACAAAGGTTTCTTTCAGGTGGTCCTTGTGGGTCACAATGACAAGGATATGATAGAAGGAAGACTAAAGCCCACAAAGATGTCACAACAGAACCTCCTCCCCCACTTACTGGCGTGGTCCCTCTGTCACACGGCCTCCCTGGTAGGCACTGTTCACTTCGGTGTCATTGGCCATCCACCACAGCATGGTATTTAAGGGCGTGCCAGCTCCCAGAAACACCTTACACGGGATTGTCAGTCTCGACCCTGTGTGTAACAAGACATGGCATGTCAGTCATAACTGGAACCTCAGCCCCTTACAACCATCAGGCAGCCTTGGTGCTGAGCCCTGCCCTATCGTCTCAGATGTCACTCAACTTCAGAGTTCTTCTTAGAAGGAAACAGTTTCCTTGGCTGATTCTGATCTTTGACATTCACCACATGCCTCCAGTTCCTTCCACTGGTCTTCCTGGCAGATAAAAACTCCAGGCATGTGAAAGTCAATGGCTTTGCTGACGCCTCCAAGTTCCTACAGCACATTCTTAATTTTAGAGTAGTCTTCTTTTACAGTTTATTCTGATAACTTCAAAATATCCAGAACAGTGTGCGAATCTGTTCACTATGTTCATTGATGGGCTCACCCCAGTGGGGCCCTGGGCGCTCCACTCTTGCTGGTTTTCCTTTGGAATTAACCTAATAAAATGTTGTTGCCTTTCTATAGCTAACACTCCTTGCCTTTGTGTAATGGATGGAACTAGATTCCCTATCATAATTAGGACTAAGCTATCTTTCTTTTTAAGTCAGCAAAGAAGAGTATGGCAGACAGTTGAAGGAGGTAGGGAGCAGAGCTCCTTGAAATTCACTTCTTCTGCATAGGTGTATGGCTCCCTGCAGTATGTCTCTTAATGCATATGGCCCGACTTCCAGCTCAGAATGCCAATGCTTCATTGTCTCTGCCAGCCAGCTGCAGCAGCCCATTGAATCTAGGGCCAGAAGGCTCCACCATGCAGACGTGATTTCAAAGCAGCTGTTTGGGTATGGGGAGTATTGAGCTGAGGCCCTAGGAACCAGCTGCTGACCCTGCTACCCTGCGTTTCCAGAGTAGGAGCAGCCAGGTGGGATGTTGCTCACTGCCACCTGCAGTGTCTGTGCAGAAGGGCTCCCCCTCATGTTCTACAACTAGAATTTGAAATGAAGTCCAATACGTAATAGAAGAGTAAAAGACTTTTAATGACCCTGCAGCTAGGGTTGATAAGTAAACATGAGCTGCACAAACTCTTCCTACAGGAAAAGCAAACATGAAGGCACAGCCATCACAGACACAGGGCCCTTGGTGTGGCTTTTTGAGTCCCAGAGTCACTGTGATCCCCTGCAAGACTTGTTTTCCCTCTGGAAAATTGAGTCAAATAAAACCTTCCTACGGGGTCCGTGTTGGGATTAGACACAGTGGACGCTCATTGCATATCCTTGCCCTGCCCGCCGCTGCTACCAGCAATGGCAAGCTCAGCCCACTGGCCTGTCTTTACCGACGCTGACTGTGGACAGTCCAGCAGGAGCATGCTGGCTGGCGTGAGACTGCACCAGAACGGGGCAAAACGCAGAAAACCCTGAGAGTTGTTTTCACCACAACTGCCCACCTATTCAGATAACAAGAATCGTCCCATACACTTTAAAATGGAGCCTTGGAGAGAGGCTCAGCAACAGCCCTGTCTTGGCAGCAAACTATTGAAATAGAATAAAAGTGCTGGCTCCATAAGGGATTCATCAATCCTCTCATTACAGTTCATAGTAGATGCTGACAGGGTTATTTTGGTACACTCAGTTTTCCGAGTAAGACATGCATGAAGCAAAGTAAGAGGGGTCTTTTTAAAAGTCCATGAAAACTGTGCATTATATAAAAAAATAACTGCATAGAATTCAAAGATATTTTGCATCAAAATCAATATCTTTTAACTCCATTTTCCCAAGAACTTTTTGAATTAGCCTCACAGATTGTTATCAAAAGCACATCATTTCTAATATCATTTTATGAGCTGATATGTTGGCCTTTATCATGCCAACCTCACACATTGGAGTACCAAGTCTATAGGCAGGGTGGACTACACCTCAAAGAGAGGGGCGTGGTCAGCCCAGGCTCTGTGGCCCTTCCGGGAAGGTCTTACCCAGAGCCGCTGAGATGGTCTGCAGGGGGGAAATAATCACAGGAACTGTCTCCTCTCTTCTCTCTGGAAAAAAAAAAATAAGTTCGGAAAAGCAAGTCCATTAGGAAAACCTTGATTTCCTATTGAGGCTCAAATCCCATTGTTTGGCTAATTAACTGAGCTATTCTTTACAGTGTGGCCAGTCTGGCAAAGGCAACAAGCTCTCCATGAAACTGAGCATTCGGGGCCAACGCCGTTCCCAGAAGAGAGATTCCTGGAAGAGGCTGCCGTTTAGCACACATTCCACAGGCAGTCTTTGTTCTTTGCGCTACAATAAACAATCATTTCTCTCCCAGGCTTCCTGAATGCATTCTTTAAAACAAAACAAAATAAAACAACAACAACAAAAAAAGCACTTCTTTCTATCTATTTATTTGGGAGATAAACAATTCCCACCAGCTAGTTTACTCCCCAAATATTCAGAATGGCCAAGGCTAACCTAGGGCCAAGGCTAGGAGCCAGAAATGCTGATCAGATCTGCTTTAGTCATCACCACTATCTCCGAAGGTCTGAACTGACAGGAAGCTGAAGCTAGAGGCCAGAGCTGAGAGCAGAATCTCATGCATTGTTCCCTGCATGCACTTTTAGCAAGTCTGTGATGAGGTCCACGTGACAGGTTTAGGTGATAGGCTTTGTTGTCCTAAACCACATCCTCAAACCTCTTCCAATGCCTACCATAGAAAACTGAAGATTCATTTACCAAAAAAGCACCACCCCTGGAGAACCATCCGTTTGTAAGGCTAATTCTATACCTGGTGTTGCATATACGGTTGCTTCCAATGTTTCATGGAAAATGAAATTAAAATAAGTTTGAGAAAGGTGTTCAGCTTAGCGATGAAACTGCCAGTTAAAACATCCATGTCAGGACCAACACGGTAGCCTAGTTAGTGGCTAAAGCCCTTGCCTTGCATGTGTCAGGAACCCATATGGGCACCAGTCTGTGACCTGGCAGCCCTGTTTCCCATCCAGCTCCCTGCTTATGGCCTGGGAAAGCAGTAGAGCATGGTCCAAACCCTTGAGGGAGACCAAGAATAAGCTCCTTGTTTCTGGCTTAGGGTTGGCTCAACTCCTGCTGTTGCAGCCACTTAGGGAAGTGAATCAGCAGACAGAAGATCTTCATCTCTGTCTCTCCTTCTCTCTGTAATATCTCCCTTTCCAACAAAAATAAATAAATCTTGAAAAAAAAATCATGGTCCCACATTGGAGTACAAAGGCTTGGTCCTCAGCTCCAGCTCCCAAGTCTAGGTTCCTGGCAATGCAAGTACTGGAACATAGTAACGAAGACTCAGGTAATTAGGTTTCTGCCTTCCTGTGGAAGACTTGAATTGAGGTCCTGCTCTGCAGCTTTGGCCACAATCTGGGAGGATTCAAACATTTGAGGATGCAAACCAGCAGAAGAGAACTTTGTCTCTCTGTGTGTGTCTCTGTCCCTCTCTCTCTCTCCTTGACTGCTCAAATAAATTTTTTAAATGTATGTTGCTCCAAAAACATTGTGAAATTTAGACATGTTTTCCATAAAACACATTTTTCATGAACTTCCTAAAGACTTCCTCAAAAACATGGAGCTGAAAAAAAAATGCACAAAGATAAAAGTTCTCTTCCAATTCTGCTTTCCAACGTTGGCCATTCATGTGTTTTTAATTTGGGGAGATGAAGTCTTTGGGGAGGCAGCAGTGATCCTTCAGGGGATCACAACCCCCAGAAGAAACGGGGTCCCTGGAATGGAATCCAAAGGGTCCATTTGGAGGGAGGGTGCTGCGAGTGGCCTCACCACCCCCACTCCTTCCACTGCAGGGAATGTGGAAACCTAATGTGGAAACCTTCGCAGGAGTACGCACCAGACAACATGACAGAACAGACCAAGGGATAGAAGCCTTCTCCACTGTGGCCAGATGCCCCTTCCACCCCTCAAAGACGTTTCATTCTTACACGGTGTTGGGCAACCAAGAGGAGACAGGGAAGCCCCCAGTGATTGTCAAGTCCAGCAGAGCACAGGCACCATCTGGCTTGTGATACACAGACTGCCTGATGGACCCCTGTTCCCAATGTGGGAAGTCTGTATGGGCCCCTAGACCTCCATGGCCAACTAGTGTGTCTGATGAAGCCACTTGGGTAGTCTAGGACTTCCCTTTGAGAACTGAGCAGCCTATGTAGCATTCAATGAGCAGCAAGAGATAGGGAGCCATAGAAAGACACAGCAAGTCTCATCAAGCCACTAAAGAGAAAGGAATGGACCAAATGAATCCTAATAGGTCACTACAGGAAATGCAACCCAGGGATTGCAACCCAGGGATGTTTCAGGGAATATGTGCTGTTCTGTGCAGTAAAATTTAATCATTATTTAACCAATTGTTTAACCTTGGTACTTTTGCCTGAGAATACTGATTTGTTATCCAGCATGAAAAACAAAGAAGTGTGGCATTGTCTCCAGACATTTGCTCAGCACATAGAAAGTGCACAGTAAATGTTGAACACCTGTTCAATATTATCAACTCTGTGTGAAACATTGTAGTTCAAGAAGTTTGTGAGAAAAGTTTGTGTTGATGTAAAAAAAAAAAAACATTGAAATCCATGGTGCCTACACGAGACGTTCTCAAAAATGTACAGTCCCCATTAATGAAAAACTACAGAGGTTTCAACATTTTACACAAAACTAAAGGTACCATTAATTCTATTTTCCACAAATTATTTAAAGTTTCCTCACGCTCCCACATGCGATCAAAATTCATTTAAGTCAATGCAGCTCTACTATTGGAAAACCTGGTATCAAAATCAATTAAACACTTCCCAGAGACCACAAAAGGATGATTTTTGCTGGAAACACCAATGCAGTTCGTTCCGATTGAAAGATTCGATAAAATCTCAATATCTAGGACTTAGGAAGATTTGGCGGTCTTGTTCTCACCAGGATGCCCATGTGCAAACTTTGTAGTGTGACCTTTCCAGACACACCGTTGTTTGGCTCCCTCTGGTGGTGCCTTTTGGACCCATCCTGGAACACCCCAGGGATTCCTTTCCGCATCTGTTTTAACTCTCTGATAAAAACTCTCCCAAATGTCACACACACGTATCTTGTTAGGCTGCTGTATTGAGTGAGCTCACATATCTGCTTTCCAGCGCCTTTCATAGCAAAGACGTCTCAGGAATTTTATGTGAACACGATTTTGTTTCTTGTTACCGAGCCAGCCTGCACCGGGACCTCAGTACTTACGCTTGACGCGCAGTTCGATATTTCTCGTGACGTTGTACTGCCTTCCTTCATGGGAAAATGTCAGTGCACACATGTAGTAGCCCGCATCCTCCATGGACACATCGTGGATGACTAAGTAAGGGGTGCCCATCACGCTTAGAAACTTCTCGTCGTCTTGACCCAGAAGGGCAGAATCCTTAAGAAACAACATTTTTAAAGTTACATTATCTACTAACGCGCATCTCAAAAGCCACAAATCACACTGGCCTTGTCAACCAATGGGTTGGCCGTGGTATTTACTGGGCCAGTCTTGGACCACTCTGAGTATATACGTTTAACTGCATGTTTAGGAAAAGGGATGTAGAAACATAAAACAAAATGCTGATTTCCCAACATGAAATTTAAAGCACTTTTTACGCACATGAGCAGAATCAAACTACCTCTTGATGACAATGTAGGCCATTTAAAATACAGATACATTAATGGGCTAACCGCTCCTGTTACAAATCTGCATGTCGCTGTGTTCCAGCAAGACTCCATTGATGGACATGAAAATTTAAACTTTATATAACTCTTCATGAAGTATACTTTCTTCCTAAACATTTTTTTTTAAGTCTGAGTCGTGTGTACCTTATTGCTTGGTTTGATTTGGCTCCAAACTGTGGTCTACCAGCACCTGATGTGCCCATGAGCCATCCCTGTCCTCAACTGGGGACCACTAAGCCACCTGACAGTATTTATTCAACCAGTCAAGGGAACAACTTGTTTATACGTTCACCTTTAACCTAAAGGTTTTCATCTGCTTTTTCAAACAACTCCTTTAATGTGTGTGTAAAGTTGCTATATAAACAGATTTTCTCAATGTTCACATACAACAGAGTAAACATTATTTTATTTCAGTTCTTAGACTGGATTCATTTCATATTCTGTCTTCTCAAGTTACTATGTCAAAGAACTTCAGCCAAAGCCCCTTATATGGGTGAATGGAATACTTAGTCATGTCACTTTCTAGTTGTGTGATGTATATTTCTAATATATAAATAGATGTCAATGTATTATCTTCAGAAATGGGCAGCTGATATATTTCTGGCAGCTAGTGAAACGCATTTTAATGAAATGGCATTTTTTAAAGATGTACCTTATACCATCGAATCAGCATGTCAGTTTTGTTACGAGTGAATTCTCTCAAGTCAGGGCACACCAGTGACCCAGAAGTGGCTGAGGTCAGAATCTGTGGATATGAGACAAACGGCAGGGATACTTCTGTGTTTTCAAAAACCCTGAGCTCAATGGACATTTCATCGCAGTACGAGGCATTTCTGATTTAAAAGAGGGCGGGGGAAACAAAAAAAAAAGAACAATATAAGTTAAGCAAAATGAATTAAGAATAATTTCCCCAACCGCATCAAATTCTGTGGCTGCATTTTCTTGGTCAAGCCAGGGCTTCAGAGATCTTTGAGAATGCATGGGAGACAAAAAGCATCATAAGTATGGTGTAGGAGCAGTGACCTGGCCTGTCTTCTTCACAAAGAGCAACTCACAAGCCTGACTTCAAAGCCCCCAGGGGCCCATAAGCCATCCCTAAACCCAGTTGAGCAGGGGCGTGCACCATGCATCTGCTGAGGCTCCTCCAACCCAGCCCAAACAGGCTGCAACTCCAGATCTCCATATTTGAGGAAAGAAGCTATTCCCCAAGAGGCACTATTTCTGTAAACACAAGACTCTGTTTGCTTCCCTTGGGAGCCATTTACCTTGCTGAAATCCAATTGCATAAAACTCCTTGCAACTTAGTGTAAAGCACATGAAAAAGTTATTGCAAAGCAGCATAGAGCAAATTAGCTTGGTATGTTGGGTATTTATGTTTATATTTGTCACCTAATTGATAGACTCTTAGCTTAATTATAACCTCAATACCATAATTCTCTCATTCCAAGGACTAACCAGGCCTGAGCCTGCTTAGCTTCAGAGATCAGACAAGATCAGGTGCATTCAGGGTGGTATGGTCCTAGGTCTCAATACCGTAATTCTAATCAAGAGAAAGGGAGTGTATTGGCGAGGGCTGGGGAAAGGTGAATGCCCGTCTGTGTGTGTAACTTCCATTCCAAAGTTCCCACAGCTGTAAACATCCTGCAAAGTTCCCTCTGGGATGACAACCAGTACCATTGGAAATAATGACTGTGCTTCACAGGCTGGGACCCTGGGTGTGTCTGCCAAGCCGTGGTATAGACTTAGGGAATGCCTGAAATCTAAGCTCTTGCTGTGTTAAGTCCCTGAGTCTGGGGAAGCTGTTGAGCACAGCAGCACCACCTTGGCTGCCCCGATGGACAGGAAGGCCATATAGGTTCTAGATCCCAGAGACACTAAAGTTCACAAGAGTGGGGCCGTCTCACGTCCACTATAAATGCTAATTGGTGGCAGGACAGCTGCTGATAGTCCTCATGCTGTTAAGCCCTGATGCTATAGCTGACATGGTCTCAGAGGCTGCCTGGATCAGTTCTGCAAAGAAGGAATAATGTGTGTCAGCAGCTCCACCACCCTCTCAGTCTCAGACGGATCTCTTTTGAAGTAAAATAGTACTTGGTATAAGTTGCAATCAAGTCTAAAAATAAACTTTAAGATAAATGTGACTTGCCTCAGCTCTCCCTGGTTTTTGCACGGCATCGCCTCAGTAGTGATGTCTGTATGACTTTGGGAAAGGAGAGAGCATGTGTCTGGGTGCTCAGCAAGCTTTACAGAGAGGAACTGAGACCATAAAAGTCAAGCAGGAAGATCAAGATCCTGCCAGATGGAAAGGAAGGGAGCTAGGACTGCCATCTCTGTCTTTCCAACTTCAGATTCCATTTCTTACTACCTTGCTGTTAAGTTTCCTTAGCAGTGTTCCTCAAAAAGAATTAGAATTTGGGACCTGAAAAAGACAGCAAGATGTGAGGTTATAGCACGGTAAAATCACACATCCATATATTTATGTTTCAGAAATAAGAGATGAATTAATAGGCATGATTAAGCCTGTCCTTAGGGGCCAGTATTGCTATCTAGGAGTTAAGCTATGGATTGCAATGTCACCATTCCATATTAGAGTCCTGGTACACATCCTACCTGCTCCACTTCTTCTTTTTTTAAAGATTTGTTTATTTTTATTGCAAAGTCAGATATACAGAGAGGAGAAGAGATGGAAAGGAAGATTTTCCGTCCGCTGATTCACTCCCCAGGTGGTAGCAAGGCCGGAGCTGAGCTAATCCAAAGCCAGGAGTCAGGAGCTTTGTTCTGGGTCTCTCACATGGGTGCAGAGTCCCAAGACTTTGGCCATCCTGGACTGCTTTCCCAGGCTGAATGGGAAGTTGGGCCTCCAGGATAAGAACCGGTGCCCATATGGGATCCCAGTGTGTGCAAGAAGAGGACTTTGGCTGCTAGGCTACAGTACCAGGCTCATTCCTGCTCCATTTCTAAACAATTTTTGCCAAAATTTTTCACTAGGAAAGCAGTGAAAGATGGCTCAAGTGCTTGAGCCTCTTCCATTCACGTGGTAGATGCGGATGGAGTTCCAGGCTTCTGGCTTTGACACGGATCAGCTCTGGCCACTGCAGCCATTTAGGGAGTAATCTAACAGATGGAAGATTCTCTCTCTCTCTCTCTAACACACACACACATGCGTTTACATATCACCCTGGAACTGGAGTTGTCATCTGAAATTCTTCCATTCATCAGCAATTCCTTTGGACCAGGAATGTCACTTGTATGTGCAAATGTAAACGAATGTTTTCTCCTAAAATCAAATGAACTTATGAACTCTGGGAAGACGATACGGCCAGTTAGTTCAAGAAGTAAAAAGAGCTGTAAAGAAGGACAGAGGCAGCAAGTAGGAAGAGAAAACCTAAAAATACTATTCCCCAAGCAGGATGAAGATCAGCCCTAACCCTTCCAAAAGGACTAAACTGGAAAGCTTTTGAGATCACCAACGTTAGGCCTGTGATATTCTCTTTCAACAAGCAACAAGACAGGTCAAGACGACCCAGTGGGGAAAACGCCATCTCTTTGACAACTGGAATGGGAAAACTGGATCTCCATGTGAAGAAGAGCAACACAAGGCTCTGACCTAATATCAGATACAATTAACTTAAAATGGACAAAAGAGCTCTGTGGGAAAAAAAACTAAAGCTTCAGCATCTTAGAAGAAAAGTGTAGTACACCCATTAACAATATTGCATTGGGCAATCTTTTTTAACTATTAGAAGCACAAGCAATAAAATTTAGAAATGGGTAAGCTGATCAAAATTAAGAATATTTTTGATATCAAAGGACACTACCAACAGGTAAATATTCAACCTATGGAGTGGGAAGAATATTTGTAAATCATATTTGATAAGAGTTTAATATTCAGAATGTATAGCAAAGTCCTACAATACAATAAGAACAAAACCAAAAAAAATTGTTTTTAGAAGAGCAAAGAACTTGAACAGACATTTCTCCAGTAAATACATGAAAATAAGCTCAACATCATTAATCCTTGGGACATGCAAGTCAAAATCATGATGAGTACCACTTCATGCTGATTAAGATGCCTATTGTTTAAAAACTAAAAGCAAAAAATTATAAGCATTGGTAAAGATGTTGAGGAGCTGGGCCCTTGTAGTACAGCAACTGTGGAAAAGAATGTGGCAACTCCTTAAAAAGTAAACAAAAACTGCCATGGGACTTCACAATCTGTCTTTTGGGTCTAGAGCAAAGGATTGAGACAGGAACCCAAACAAATATTTGTATGACTATTTTCACATCAGCATTGTTCACAACCACCGAGAGGTAGACGTGAGGGAAATGGCCATAAATGGATACTGCAGCTGTGGCTTGTGTATGCACTGGAATAAGAATATTGACCTGGAAAAGGGAGGGAATTCTAGCATATGATAAATATGGGTGAACCTCGATGGCACCCTACTACATGAAATAAGCCAGGCCCAAGGGGACAGAAAGTATGCAATTCCACTCTCTGGAGGTAGCCTTGTGCAGTCACATCCCTAGAAACAGAAGGTAAAAAGCAGGTAACTAGAGTTTGAGACCAGGGAGCATGGGAGCTGTTTTATGAGAAATGAGTTTCAGTTTGAGCAGATGAAAAAGTGCTAGAGATGGATGGTGGTGATAGTTACACAAGAATATCAATGTACTAGTTATCACTGATGTGGACAGGGCTTAAAATGAATTAAGATGGCAAACTTCATGTCATGCATATGTTATTACAGTTAAAGAAAGAAAGGATGAATGGGATGGAGGACTGGTCCCAGGGTCAGAAATGGTGGGTTCCAGTCTCAACTCTATCGATGGACATTGGTAAGCAAGTTTGGTTACCTCCCATGCACAACAAGTAGTTATATTAATTTATTTCTAAGGGCACATCCAGCTCTCAGGTTCTATCCAAGTTTCCACATTTCTGCCCACCATGTGCGTTCATCATAGGCCAAGTCCATGGCATTCCTGTTCTAATGTATACATTCATGTTCTTAAATATACAAACACAGAAAGATGTGTCAGGTAGGGGAACAAGCACAGGAGGGAAAAGAGAACGAATGACAGAGTGCTGTGCCAAATAAAGGACAATTCCCCTCATCTCACAGAAGTGACATTTGAGCAAAGCTCAGATGAGGAGATGGAGAAGCCAGGAGAATATCCAATGAGGGATATTGCAGAACAATGAGGAATTTGTTGGTCCCGTAACCATGACCTGGACGGGAAATTCAGACCAGCTTGGTGCAAAGAGGCCCCAGGGCTTACCTGACAGTGCAGATGTAGGTGTCAGAGTCTCCCTGCAAGGCAGGCAGCAACCAGAGTGTGCCATCCTTGACCCACATTCGTGCTCCTTCTCCTGGGACCATCTGAGCAGAGCTGTTTCTACGCCAGGTCAGGTTGCTGTGGGGGTCGACAGAAACTCCATCCCAAGACCATGTCTGAGGGCATCTGAGGACCACTGGCTCCCCTTCCAACCTGAATTGCATTTTGAAATGCTTGCCACGGAATCGGCAGGGTCCTGTAGTTGCAGAAGGATAGAGACCAACCTCAACGTTTGGGTCCCAAGACCTGTTGAGATCATAGAAGTGCCCTAGACCTCAAACAGAAACTGAGATGCAGAGAGACATCTGAAGAAGCCACACGTCCCTAATGAAGTGACTCATTGGTGTTGGGCTGGGTGTCAGGAGCCGTGATGTCAGGAGCCGTGCACTATAGCCACACTGAAGCCATTTTGAATATAGAACTATGGGCCAGTGGAAAACCCCCGGCTGGCTAGTTGCTTGGGAAAGAAGTTATGAAACTAATCACACGCTTAGCTTCAATTGTTTCTAGCAACTGTTTTAGAATGTGATTTATACTGTACCTGCTGATATCTTGTTGCTGATTACCTATGCTATTGTTGATATGCTGGTTACTATGGTTGATATGGTGGCTGCTCAAGAACAATCGGTCTGGAGACCATGGCTTGCGTCCTAGTTTCTCCTTTCCTCCCTGAGCCTTAGTTACTGAAGAATATAAAAACCCTCAATTAAAATCAATAAACTGACAGCTTGATCAGACAACCTGTCTTGCTGTCCATTCTTCGTGTCTCTTGTCCCCCAATCTCTCCTAGGTGGTTGCGACCCCCGTTGACTGTCCTGCTGGACAAGACAGCTGGGCATGGAGGGAGTTTGTGAAATCGCCCTCCCTGCCCCCGCATTAGTATATTTCAAAATACCCCTCCGCCCCCCCCCCAAAAAAAAAACAGTTCAGGGCTATTACCAATACCAACTTAGTTTCTGTGAGGAGACTTCAATCCACTTTATCCCAAAAAAAATTTTTTAAGACTTTAAATTTGCACATGTTTTTCACCTGTTCATACTTCACCATTAAAAGCTCAGACAGAAAACTTAGTTGTGGAAGTCCATGTGGCTGAAATCCAAAGACATCTTTTGCTAAGGACCAATCCACTACTGTGGTTTATGCCTTTGCAGCCCTACCTGGGCACAGCAGAGAGGCCAGACAAGAGGAAGACACTAGACAGGGTCCAGATACTCACACTTCACCTTGGGGTAACAACACACTCTCCCCAGACAACTTCTTTTTCCAGAGAAGCTGCAGCAAGCCCATTTCCAGCTGATAGAACTAGTTCTTACCTGCATGCTCCTCTGCCTGAAGGGTAAGTGCAGAAACACCTGTTATCAACGTGTACAAGATGAACATGGTTCCTGGAAGCTCCTGGAAGACACAGCAAGCAGAGAGCCGAGGTCCACATCGCCTTAGCCTAGGAGAGGAAACAGGAGGGGCTGCTCATCAGGAGCCACAAACTCCCACAGGGAGGATCCCTGATGGATCATCCCAGGAAAAGGGTTTTGTGTCTTCACCTGATGACAGAAATATGTTAGACTACACTTGGGGTTTTGTTTTTGTTTTTTTGGTTTTTTGGTTTTTGTTTTGTTTTGTTTTTGTTGTTAATGTTGTTTGTTTTTTTTGTTTCTGAGAGGCAAACAGACAGACAGCAACAAGAGTTCCCATTCTCTGGTTTATGTGCCCAAATGTTCACCATAGCCAGGACTGAGCCTGGCCAAAATCAGGATGCAAAAATCCAATGCAAGGCTCCCACATAGGCAGCAAGAATCCAAACTTGAGTCATTATCATTGCCTCCAGGGCTGCCAGGAATCAGACCCAAGTACTTTGACTAGAGATGCAGGCATGTGAACAGGCAACTTGTGCGCTAGATCGAATGCCTATCCCACCTAGATGCTAGCTCCTCAAGGCAACTCAGATGTTTTCAGATTCGCTTCTCTGCTGCTTTTTCCTCTGAACACACCTGAAGCCACATCCCAGAATCTCAGCAGACTCTCTTGGAAAAAGGACACCACATCCCAAGTTCTAGAAGCGGAACTCAGCAGCTCCCACCCTCTTCCCCAGGTACCCAGTCCTCAGCTTGGGCCACTGCTGATGCCCTTGCTTACAAGGTCTGTGCTTGCCTAGGCTTTCCCACACCTGCCACTGTGACATCACGGTGCTCTTCCGCACCACCGTGCCCTATGAGCCTTTCCTCTCTATGATTCTCTATGATAGCAATCATCATCTACCAGTCTCCTCTCTCTAGTGTGTATGCCACATGTGCTTAGAGCCTACATTGCTATATCCACAGCTCTGTCTCTGACTGCCAATGATTGAAAGACCATTTCACTTATGAGAGAGTTTCCCTACACATGCAGCCCTCCATATCAGAGGGTTCTGCACCCACAGGTTCAATCCATCACACATAGGAAACAATTCGTAAAAGGATTACATCGGAACTGAATAAGTGCTGAATTTTTCATCATCCCCTCAGTAATACAGTACCACAGCTTTTATATAGCATTTACATTGCATTGAATATTTATAAGTAATCTAGAGGTGATTAAAAGTATACAAGGAGATATAGTTGGGTTATATACAAATACTTGAATATCCATAAATGCTGTATCCAAGGGGGTCCTGGAACCAGTCTGCTCCAGATATCATGGAATGGCTATACTGCCCATGGATTAGCTTTTGTTTTACACACAATTCTGACATCCACTAAAGGATTCTATATACTTCTGTGTAGTCCACAGCATCCCATAGAAAAAAATAAATAAATAAGGTGAGTTCCGAGAAGTGATCAACTTACTCAAGTTCATGAAGCAGCCCTCCCCTAAGTGTCCCTAGAACTGGACATTGACCCACCCTTCTGTGGTTTTACTGTGGTCCTTCTCACACTCTCAACTGTATGTTGTATCTGCCAACCATTGTCCAAAGATTCAGAAATAAAGAGTGTAAAACAACCCCCCTTTATGTTCACACACAAGTGAGTAGGTCAGACAGAGTCTGGCTAACTTAAGTCAGGTGTGTTTGGGCTTGACTCCAAGCTCCAACAGGCTTCCAAGTCTGTTCCTTGCATCCATCATGCTTCTTGGACTAGTAAGCTTCCTGGGACATGATTTTTTCATAAGACAGCAGAACAAAACTGATGGGGCAAAGGTACACAAGGCCATGCTTCGAGTTGGCTCACTCTTGTCTGCCCACATTCCACTGGCCTCAGTAAGCCACATGGCCAAACCTGCCACATGGTGCGTGAGGGAAATCATCTCACCAAGAGGAGTAAAGAAATGGGAGCAAATGTACCATCTACCACACCTGATGCTTGTCTGATTTCCCAGGGGTGGTGACAGCCTTGAAGGCAGGAGCTGGCTCCTACTCACTGTGACCTACATACTGCCCCATCCCAGAAAGTACCAGTGAATATGTATGTCTGATTAAAAAAAAAAATCCCAACCCCATTCCCATGAGTCACTCCTTTTGGAATAGATATCAGCACAAATGGCCTACCACATGCCCAGCTGGTTCATCACGGGACTGGCATTCAGGAAGGAACCCTTGAACTTTAGAAATCCTCCCTTGTGAGTAGGGAACCTTCAGAATCCAGGGGCTCATAACCGCCAGCTCAGCCTCTCCCCATCCAGGGATGAGAAGCCAATGACCCAAGATGCTGACCTGCAGTGGCTGTCTGGTCTGGAGCTGCCTCCACTAAGTAATTTCTGCTTCCGCACCATCTTATCTTTGAGGCATTTCTGAAACACAAATGTTTCTTGCAGCTTTCCCTCTAATCTCATGCTTGGGTTTGCCAAAATGAAGATCACATACACATGGGCCAAGTTGCTTTTTCCTCTTTGAATCCCCATAGATAAACATTAGCTGATATTGTCCCCAGATGGTCTGGACCCAGTTACGCCAATTCTTTAGAAGGATCTGAGAAAACTAGAAATTGAATACATCATGTATAACACTACATCTCAGAATAAGTAAATGAGGTCAAAGAGGCTGACCAGTACCACAGCATCAGCAACAGCTAGGGTGTCCAATAGCGGGCATCCATTCTTTCATTTTATCCCCCATGGTGGGAGGCTCAAGCCCATCTTAGCGATGACATGTTTAAAGAAATAAAAGGTAACCAAGATCTTATTGTTACTAAGCAGGGTTGACTTTCAAACCCAGAATTGGTGAGTCCTTAACCCTTGCTCTTTAAAAACAGTTTCTGTGACACACACTGCTTGTCCAAGAGTAGAATCCTGATTCTCAAGTGGGCCCATGACTACCCATCACAAAGATTACCTTTCCTACCTGCCCTTACACCTAGGAGCGGCCACGTGACAAAAATCAGGTCAATGAATCTGAGTGGACATGTTACCTGGCCCTCCTGGAAAGTCTTCCTATGGGGGGGTTAGAAATATCCACCCATTTTCCTACCAGCTAACTCAGTCTGAGTATGGTGGTTCTGTTTGGGCCACAAAGTGCAAACAATCTGTTAATAGAGGCCGGGTAACAAGAAGAGAGGCTCATGGAAGCAGGTATGTAGGCCAACAGCTCACATGCTCTTGTGGACATCAGAGTTTTATTCCTGACTCTGGCTCGTGACTTCAACTTCCTGTCGAAGAGAACTCTCACAGGCAGCAGTGATGGCTTGAATACTTGGGTTCCTGCCAACCCAGAAAGGCCCAGATCCATGTACCTGCCAGGCCAAGATGTGGCTGTCACAGGTGTCTGAGGAGTGAACTAGCAGATGGGAAAGCACTCTCTCTTCCTTTCTCTGCTTCTCAAATAAATGGATAAATGAAAACATATTGCTATAAACTAGTTAGCAAGTATTTTTAAAGTGAAGATAAGAGTGTGTGTGCCCTCCGTAGCTGCTGCCCACCTCCTTGGATTATTGTCTTCTTACTTGTTCGGGTTATTGTCATGCACAACCAAACCTGATTCCCAGTCCTTTACCAACTTTATAGAAAAGAACCCAGAGGAAAGAACCATGCTGGGCAGTGGTGTCAGTTCTCATAGTCCTCTTTCTGATCCTCAGCTGTGTGAAGACTTTCTGGAACAATTTGGCTTCTGGTTCCTGACCTCAAATCTGTTGGGCTTTGGCCATTGCAGCTACTTGGGAAGTGAACCAATGGATGAAGGATCTTTCTGTGTCTCCTCCTCCGACTTTCCAATAAAAAATAAAATAAATCTTTTAAAAATAATAAATAAGAAGAACCTCTGCTGATGGACTCTAGATGTCTTGGACCCTAAGAAGTCTGACTCCCTCAGGGACAGTCACTTGCTGAAGTTTCTCAGAGCTAGGAAGTTGAAGGGTGTTTGGGAAGTCCAGACCAATATCTTCCTTTTGCCAAGTGATGAAAGTGGTTTTGAAGTGAACCCTCTGAGCTTGTTGCAAAGTCAGAGACATCTCAGGTAGTGAAGTGACATCCCAAAGTGTTGCCTGTGGGTGCCTGCCTTCCCCCACCTTCCCCACCCCTGCAGCCGGGAATGTACTGCTTTTCTCTCACCCTGGGCTTTAGCAAAACAAACAGCTGCTTGACTCCAACTTCTCCCGGAAGTGGTCGCAGACAAGTAAACCACAAACACATGGCAGTGACAGTTTTCAATAATCAAAACCTCAGAAAGGGTCTGGAGCCAAAGTTGCTGTAGTGTGGGAAATAGTAGGTCTTGGCAGGCTCGAGGGAGGCACGAAATGAGTTTTGCAAAGGTTTACAGCAAAACCCTATTCCCCTGGCCTACTTTCTTTACATGTATTTTCAAATCGCAAATAACTTGGCGTTTCTTCTGGAATCTGAGCTGACCTTCTTACCGGAAAAGTGAAATTTCACAGGCAACTTGTACCAAGTATTCGAATTATGATTTATTCTGGTACTTTTGTATCAAATAATCATGTTGCAGAGTATTCAATGTGAAAAATCAGAAGAAAAACGCAAAGAAGGAACAGCCACCAAAAATGAGGGGAGATGTGTGAAGACCTGGAGGATGAAGAAAAATTGCACTGGTGCACAGCGGGTTAAGAGGCCGCCTGTGACCCTGGCATTTCAGGCCAGGCAACAGTCAGAGCTTCAGCTGCTCAGCTCCCAATCCAGCTCTCTGCTAATGTGCCTGGGAAAACAGCTGAAGGTGACCCAAGTAATTGGGCCCCTACCACCCACATGAGGGATCCACATAGAGTTCCGACCTCCTTGTTTATGTTTGACCCAATCTCATCTGTTGCAAATACTTGGGGAGTGTATAGTGTAGGAAAGATCTCTCTCTCTCTCTCTCTCTCTGTGTGTGTGTGTGTGTGTGTGTGTGTGTGTGTGTGTGTGTGTGTGATTTGCCATTCCAATACAATGCAACATAACTTTAGAACAACAGTTGTTGGTGCAGACCTGAGCCAGGCAGGAGGTGGTACACAGCGCCCTGCAGACTGCACTGAGACCCTGGGAAGCAGGTACCACCTTTGATGCACAGGTCTCTACCTCCTGGCTTGGGGCTTCTGTTCACAAATTCTCCAGACAGCCTAAGAGTCTAGAGGTGTGGATCCCTCTTTCTCACTTCATTTTGAAAAATTACAGACTTAAAAATGAGCAGGCTAGTGCAATGAACATCAGTCGAGATTCACTGATTGTTAACATTTGGCCAACTTTGCTTTCCCTCATTGTGCCCTCTCTCTTCTCTTTCTAGACATATACACTTCTACACAGGGAGCTGTGTGGACATCCACAGCTGTCTCAGGACCCCCAGAGGATGGTTCCAAGACTCCCAGAAGATTCCGATGTTCACAGATGTCCACGTTGCTTCCAGGAAATGGTTCAGTGTTTGTACAGAACCTATACACATCCTCAGGTAGGCTCCAAATCATCTCTAGATGACTTATAATGCTGACTGCAATGTAAACTATGCAAGCAGTCATCAGATAGATGCTATGCACATCGTTGCTTGCAACGATTGTGGCAAATATTTTCAGTGTGCAGTGGACTCATTCCAAGGATGTGAAGGGATCCAGTATGCCTTTATCTGCACTTGCCCATAAAGATTCCACCAAACATTTGAAAGTTACAGACATAGCCAAGAGTTAGACAATGCACACCAGTAGGAATATAGGAACACATTTTTAGCTGACCAGGAGAAAACGCAGGCAAATGGTTGCTCCCAAAATTAATCTTCAAACACTGAAACAGAGTACAGATTTTAGTCTAGAGTATGTTCGGATTTTTGAGGACTGAATTCAGAAGAGATTAAGCCATTCTTATTGCTATCCTCCTCTTGTTTCTGGAAACTTTTAGGCAACTGTCTCAGCTCTGAGTCAGGCAACATAGCCAACTGAAGAACAAAAACAACACGGTAGGTGCTGAATATTAATGAAATCAAATAACCACACCCACCACTGAGTCACTTCCAGGTTATAAAACAAATTCCTAAAAACCTACATATGTGTTAGATCTGTTACATAAAACCTTCTGAAACTTTTGGGAAAATAAATATTAATATCAAAGTTATGCTACAGATTTTTTAAATTCAAAAGTAAAGTAATGTTTCTTAAAACTTTTTAAAAGACTTTTATTTAACAAGCAGAGTTAGAGAGATGGAGAAGCAGAGAAAGAGAGTGCGAGCAATCTTCTATCTACTGGATCACTCCCCAGATGGCTACAACAACCAGAATTGAGTCAGTCCAAGATCTTCTTCTAGCTATCTATGTGGGTTCAGGGACCCAAAGACTTTGCCCATCTTTCACTGATTTCCTAAGCATATAGGCAGGGTGCTGCCTCAGAAGTGCTGTAGCTGGGACTTGAACCAACACCCATATGGAATGCTGGCATTACACATAGTAGCTTTACCTGCTACACAATGCCAGCACCCAAAAGGCATTTTTAACTATCTCAGGAAATCACAGAATTTTAAGCACTTGGGCAATAGGGAAGATCCTGTAGATGCAGATACAGAGAAATAGATGAGCAGTTATGAGGCAACATTTGTTGAAAACGTGAATGGACTCAAAATAGAACCCTTCCTAAGCTGCCCACAAATTACTTCTGTTCTGTTCTCCTCTACTGGAAATAAGGAAATTCTGCCTCAGTGCAACAGGACACGGCTGTTTCTGCTGTACAGTTGTGTCATGATCACCAGTGGTGCCCATGGTACTGGCCACCTGTTCCTTTGTGGGACCCAAGGAGACAGAAGCACTTGCTGGAGTCCCAGCCCAGGAGAATCCTTAGAACCAAGGATTTGTCCATACTGGGCTGATAAGCAGACCTGGAGATGCTGACAGCAGCTCCCCTAATGGCTAGTCACCTTCTATGCTTTAGTTTCTGCCAATAAATTTGCTTTCTCTCTAAAAACATTCTTTCTGCCAAGCTTTCTGAACACCAATTTCTGTGCCAAGAACCACCAACAGACACTTTGGTAGATCAACACAAGTCGTCTCTTCCCACACTCAAGCCCCAGTAACCCTGAGTCACCAAGAGCCCCCACAGTCTGGACCATGGCTTCCTCTACCTTCCTAGGGTACCAGCCTCTCCCTAGGCTGACAACGAACAAGGCCACCCCTACAGCCCAGAGTCATCATCCTCCCCCAAATCAAGGTGAAGAAGCTCTTTGTGTCTGCAGGGTGGATCACCAAGGTTCAAGTTCTCCCAGTCTGTTATTGTGCATCGGGAATTGCTGCCCTACATGACACCACAGGACAGTACTCACAAGTCTGGTGGAGCACGGAGGCATAATGGGCAAATGAGCAATAGAAACATTAGGGGACCTGCCCAAAGCCACAGAGCTAATGGGATAATAATGTAGGCTGTGTAACTAGTCCATGCAATCCTCAGCCACAATACTATTTGTTTGGTAGAATGATCAAAACCTGGAGCTAGAAATGGGATTCAGAAGCCGTTAAGTTTATCTGCTCACTCAGTCTTCCCAAACCCAGCATTTCCTACTTACGCTCAAGTTAATCTCCTCACAAGATGGACACTTCCAGTCTTGAGAAATGTCCATGATTGAAACGCTTCTGTCATTTTGGATCTCAATTGGCTACTCTCAAACCTGCATTGATTGATCAGATTTCACCCTCTGGAGCAGCTTGAAACAAGCTGTTTGCACCTGTCCCAAGCCTTGAAAGTCAGAGTCCACTCAGAAAAGCAGAGTGGGAAATATATGCACAGCATCAATATGACTCCTCTCACGGCTACAGGCAGCTTATAAACCTGTCCTCAACCGTAACATGGATACATGGCATATGATATATAAGCAGCTCAGTACAGTGCTGTCAAAGAGAAAGCACTAAACAAGCAGTATCCCCTCTCAGCAGGACACAGAAGCAGAACCAAGTACCCAGGCGCTGAGAGAACACAGCAACGTGCTCAAGCACACAAAGACAGAAGATCTGAAGGGAAAGTCAGGGTTTCCACTCTCTGCAGTCTGCAACTCTTGATAAGGGTCCATTGCACAGTCTGAGAACATCCAAGCTTCATAGTAAGTGGTTAATACTACTTACTCAATAGAAATGAACACAACTTGACCCTATAGAACCAGTAAATTTGAGTATATATGTCCACAAAATATGTTTAGCATAGTACAGCATCCTAAATACACAAATACATGTTCAAGGCTGCCTGGAATTCTAAGGTCTCTCATGCTAGCATTGAGACTGGCGCCTTAGAGACAGAGTTGTAAGCCCACAGACCTAAAGGCTGGAGTTAGGCTGAGCCATCTCTCTACCATTACAGAGTGATGTGATCTTGAGCAACCACAGACTCACATTAACTGGGTCACAGTTTGTTCATGTCTAAAATACAAATACTGAGATGGGGAGAGCTTCCAAGTCTCTTTCAGGGTAAGGCCTCCAGATTCTAAATCAATCTGAGTTGAGTTTAGACATCTACCCTGAGTATAGTTTTAATTTCTAAAGCATTGAGTCAGGGGCTTAACTTGACAAGTTAACCAAATCAAGCCAGCTCACTTGCTGACGGTCCCATGGCCAGAAAATGTCAGAGACAAGACTCAGAACTCCTGAGTTCTTTTTAGTATTCAAGTTGTAGTTCTCTTTGGCTCCCACCAGATTGGACACTCTTCCGGCCTTTGGACAACAAACCAGTGATTGGATGAAGAGCACCACTTAAACCAAGCACTGCTTTTGTTTCCTAACTGTAGGAAACCAGCCCAGTGTTTGCATCATCAGCCATCCAGACTACTTGCCCACCTAAAATAATCTGCATAGAGAAGTAAGAACAGAAAGAGCCGGTTAGCTGAAGGATAGACACGAGGATACGAGGATCCTGTCACAGTGTTGTCTCTTTTACTTACCAAAGAAGTTTTGATGTCTCCTTTAAAAGCTCTTTCATTTATATGTCTGCATGCAGCTAGTTTTTTCAGAGTTGCAGATTGTCTTTTGCAAAGATAGCTACAACCCTATCTCCCATCACCTATCGTCTTCTATAACATGACCATGCCACTCTGCCATCAAGGGGTGGAGTCCAACTCACCTCCGATGAATGTGGGCTGGCCTACCATGAGGAGAATGTATCAGAGGCAATGCTGTATGAATTATGAAGTTAGGTCAGAAAACCCACGAAGTTCTCACCTGGTTTCCTTGGAATGCTCAACCATGGAGAATGGCCAGCCAAGCTAAGAGGACCTCGCTGGGGAGGCCACATGACCCAGCTACACCCAGCCTCTGAGAAATCCCCTGCAAAGCACCAGCCACATGAAGACATGCTAGACTAGCTGAGTATCACAGCTGAACTCAATCAAACTGCCTGAAGCAAAGCATTACTGGAGCCCTTCTCAAATCTCCTGCCTACAGAATGCGTGAATTCTAATCCAATGACTATTGTTTTAAGCTACTAAGTTTTGGGGCATTTTTCTTCACACCACAATCATGGAACAGAATGCACAAACCAAAGCAGATTAAACAGAGCCAATTAGAAAATAAAAAGAGGGCTGGTCAAAGAAAACACACACACTGGGGTGGGCATTTGGTGCAGTTGTTAATACATTGCTTGGGATGCCCTCATGCCAAATTGGAATGCCTGGGTTGGAATTCCAGCTCTGCCAAAAGAAAAAGTGGAAAGAGAGGTTATACCTTATGCTCAAACCCTCTTACTACAGAATGGGTCAGAACAGCATTACATAGTGCAGGTAATGTTTTCATTATCTCCCAACATGCTTCTTTTCTTGCTAGTCTGGATTCTTCTACCTTTATAACTTTAGAAAAGAGGGGAAAGCAACACCTCCACAAAAAGGAGGGAAGGAGGTGGATACAACCTAAAACTTCCTTCCTGGCAAAGAAGAAGAAAATGGAAGGCATTTGGGGTTCCAGGATTAAAGGAGAGAACCTGCCAGAGGAAGGCAGCCAGTTCTGCTTCTTACTGTGGATTCAAAACCTGAAGGCAAAGGAACAAAAGGTTAAAGACAGACAAACTAAGAAAAGAGAAACTTTGGCTCTGCTTCCAAATTGGGTCTCTAGAGGTGTCCCACCTTAATAAGGAAACAGCCCTCCCCTAGATGGGGACACCAGACAAGGATAGAAAAAATAGAGTCAATTGAGGTAGAAGGGATGTCAGAGCTTGTCCCCTGGGAGCCTCTCTGATGCTGCCAGCTGCAGACCTTGCCTAGTACTTGTAAGGAGAGTGGGAGGCAGCTGGGTATCTGGATTGAGATGGGATGGCCATGATCAGCAAAGACATCCAGTGCCAAGTCTGCAGGGTGCCCCCTCAGGAAGAAGCATTATGCCTTGTTTGAGGGTGACTAATCAACCTGCCAACACGCTGAGCCCTCCACCCTCTGCTCCTTCGGCTTTCCTGACGTTTTCCAGGGCTCCTCAGGTTCCTGCAAGAGATGCTGCTGCAAGCCATTCCAGTTGTTTGGCGCTCATGCCCTACTGGTTTGAGTATCACTGAGATGGTCCAAGCCCGGGAAGAAGCAAGGTCATGGCCAAGATGCAGAGGAACTTGGGAGTGAGCCGGAGGCACAGTGAAGCCAGGTTAACCACATCATTGGCTCTGATGTGACTGACATGCCAGATCACATGATTTTCCTGGTCACAGACCCCAGAAGTAGCTTCAGCAGGGTACCCTATAGCAAAGCAGGTACACAGTCATCTCTGCAGAATCTCTAGGGGCATCAAGGCAAGCATGTATGGCTTAGCCAGCCTGTCCACTATTCCCTCCATACACAGCACCCCACCCTCTGGCTCAGATACCCTCCTGGCTAGAAGAATGCATCAGACAAGAAGTTGGAAAACTGAGCTCTATCCAGAACAAACTAGATGAATCCAAGAGAGGTAGATTGGAGTCAGCAGAGATGGAGAGCACACACAGTGGCAGGATTAACTAATTCCCCCTTTCTTAGTCACAGGGGCCTCAAGAATCAAACGACATTCCTACTAGCAGAATTCCTAAAAGGATTTCTTTCGGTATACATTTGAAATTAGTACAAATGTTCACTGTTATAAATATCTCTCCATAAAATTATTAAGACATCAGGATGGGTAAGATTTTCTTTTGATGCTTCGAAAGATCATTTTTCCACCTCTGGAAAATATGCCCAACAAGAATGTATGGTTCTCTAGAGGTCGATGGACAGTTGCCATCCCAGAGTTAGTGTCCAGGCTATCTCTGAGAAAAGGCAGAAGCCAACAAAAGCTACCGCAACAAATACACACAAAGAGGCTCAAGCAATTGCTGTTGACACTGTGTTGGGAAGTCCCTCACCACAAGAAAACCCTATCCTTAGCCTGAAAACACTTCAGGATTTTTCACAAGCCCAGTCACCCCAGGGCTGTGGTCAAGGGTTCCCGTCACACACTCTGCCCTTCTGCCTCCTGTCAAATTTCAGACCACTAGCTTGTTCTTGGTGGAGAGAACAGCTTCATGGTGACTTAACACCTTATATCCCTTCCTCTTTCCTCCCATCTGCCGCAACCCATCTTACTGAGCAACATAACATGGCAAGGACGTTATGTTCTACCAACATCAATCACCTCCCTATGTTGGAGCACATAAAGGATTTTTCCATTCCCTGCTTCCTGGCAGTCAGTCCTGAACCAGGACTGGAAGGGAATGCCAGAGACCATTTGGGGTAGATATCCACAGAGCTGAACAGAGTGTTGCGGGAACAAACTCTGCTAGGGCATCCTGCTTGCAAGGCTGCAGTTTACCGAAGGCCAAAGCCCTTAGCTGCAGGTATTGTCCCGAGACGCCAAGCTCATGGGGCTTGTGTGCTCATGGAGCAGTCCTGTCCACCTCCTCCTTCCTCTAGGGCAGGATGATGCCCTGGCAGTCAATGCTTAGCTAGTAGTGGGAACGGGGATAGGACCTTAGAGGATTGCCACATCAATAGAGAAACTTGATATCCTAAGAAAATTGAAATTGCTGGGAAGAGCTCAACAGCGTTCCTCTCCCTTTTGCAGAAAGGAAACCTCTGGCATCCCACTAGTATAATGTTTCGCTTGCCCCTGTCTCCTACATCTAGCTGTGCTGTCTCCCTCTTCACCTCGTATGTGCCGCACAGGTTACAGTAAGGGAGAAATGCCTTTTCTTTTCTTTTTCACTTCTAATTCACGTAAAATTAACAAGTTTCACATATTGGATTATGCAGATTTAGTGGCATACTTCGCACCCCGATCTCCCTCTTGCCCACTTTCCCCACCTACCCCCTTCCTTCCCAATTTCTTTCTCTTTTTTCTTTTACAATGGCATGTTTTCACTTCAAGCCACAATCACAGGTTTAACACTGCATCAGCACATAGCAAGCAGAAACAAACAACAACAACACAACTTGGGAGTATAGACAAAGGATGTAAACAATAATCAAGTCTCAGAATGTCAATCTTATTAGTTTAGATTACATTTTTGTGCTCTTTGTATTAGTTATTGCAAGTCAGGAAAAATATAAAATATTTGCCTTTGGGGGGACCAGCTTATTTCACTAAGCATTATAGCTTCCAGTTGGATCCATTTAATTGCACAAGACAAAATTTCATTCTTTTTTATAGCTGAGTAATTTTCCAGAGAAGTGCCTTTTCTAAGATAACCCATATACCTCCAGTGCCTTGTTTATGGAAACTGCTAGTACAACATGATGCAGCCACCCCCAGTAGTAGGCTGAGATTTACTTCCTCCTTCCTTCTATAGGTTCATTCATTTCTTCCTGCTATGTCTGTTTCTCTTGTTAAACAGGAATAGCCCCCCTTCCCCTTCTAGCACTCATGTCAAAACAGCATGAGTCTTGCAGATGGATTCTGCAAATTCTTTTCTGAAATGGCCAGGATCCTTGAGAGACTATGAGGAACCATCAGAGTCAGATGCATTTGACTAAGTATGACAACATAGCATGAGCAAGGATTACTGGTGACGTTTGGAACTACTGAGGTGCCTCAGGGTATCGCTGCCATGGGACTTGGACTGACTGGCTCAGCCATCAAGGAGAAAGATGAGGCCACTGTGTTCATTTGCCACTGCTGTGTAGCAAAACTATACACTCCCCACTTAAAATAACCCCACTTGCTGGACTGTGTGGCTGCAGGTCAGGTGTCTGGGTTCAGCATAAGTTGTCATGGTCCCCCCATTCCAGAATTCTTAGAGCTCAGGATCCTGTTGGAATGATCAGACTGAGGTCCCTAAAAGTAGTGGCCACCAGCTACCAGAAGCCACTCACTCTTTCCAGAGCAGAATAGCTTCTCCACCACAGCACAATTTTCTCTTCCAGGAGCACAGAACATTGTCTGCTACAGCTTCAAACCGCCCTGATGCCTTCGCTCTGACCTCCAGACTTCTTTTAGCAAGAGCCAGACACTTCTGCCAGATGCACACTCCATGGAGCTGACACAAGCAATACTTAATTTTGTCCAATACCAGACAATTTTAGATGGTTTCATCAATATCCACCCCTGCTTGCTAAACATGTGAGCTATATTACTCTTCCATCCCTTCTACAGCTTGTCTAAATTTTATCACTGTGACAGTGATAAAGTTTTATGGTTGCAATTTGAAATGTTCTGATTTGGGGTTTTTTCTAAGTTTTTAAAGATTTATGTGTTCGAAAGGCAGAGTTATGGGGGTGGTGGCGGTAGAGACAACAAAAGATCTTCAAGCACTAATTCTCTCCCCAAATGGTCACAACAGCCAAAACTGAGCCAGTCCAAAGCCAGGAGCTTCATTTGGGTATCTCCCATGGGCCCAGAGCCCCAAGTACTTGGGACATCTTCTATTGTTTTCCCAGGTGCTTAATAGGGAGATGGATCAGAAGTGGAGCAACCGGGATTCGAGCTGGAGTCCATATAGGATACTGGCACCACAGACAGAGGCTTTATCCAGAATGCCACAAACACAAGTCACTTTTAAAATTTTTAAGTTTTATTTTCTTTTATCTGATGTAACACTAGTACATATCTATTTTACTTTAATTGGTGTAACACTAGTGCAAACTTTTAATCCATGAGTAGACTACTCAGTGACCAATTAAGTGTAATTACCACTTCTATCACTTAAAACATCAAACATTTTTTGGCGATGAGAACCATCAAAATTCTCTTTTTTTCAGATGTATATATAAAATAAATAATATTTTGAACTCAGAGTTACAAAACAGAAAGAGAGAGCTAGAAAGTGAGAGATGGTTCATTTGTTGGCTCAGTCCCCTGCTGGCTACAAACAGCTAGGGCTGAGCTGGGCCAAAGTCAGTTGTCAGGAGTTTACTCTAGGTTGACCATGTAGATAGCAGGAAACCCTCCACTGCTTCTCCCCAGTGGTTATTCAGGAACTGGATGAGAAGTGGAGCATCTGGGCATGAACTGGTTCCCACAAGGGATGCCAGCATCACAAGTGGCAACTTTACCTACCGTGCCACAACATCCGCCTCAATGCCAATGCTTCTAGCTACTTAAAAGAATATGAGTGATCTAAAGCATTCATTG